AAGACACAACGAAAAAAGAAAATTTTAGGCCAATATCCCTGATGAACATCAGTGCAAAAATCTTCAATAAAATACTGGTAAACTGAATCCAGCAGCACATCAAAAAACTTATCCACCATCATCAACTCAGCTTCATCCCTGGCATGCAAGGCTGGTTCAACATATGCAAATCAATAAATGTAATTCATCACATAAACAGAATCAATGACATAAACCACATGATTATCTCAATAGATAATAGATAAGGCCTTCAATAAAGGTCAACATCCTTTCATGTTAAAAACTCTCAATAAACTAGGTATTGATGGACCATATCTCAAAATAATAAGAGCTATTTATGCCAAACTCATAGCCAATCTTATACTGAATGGGCAAAAGCTGGAAGCATTCCCTTTGAAAACCAGCATAAGGCAAGGATGCCCTCTTTCACCACTCCTATTCAACACAGTATTGAATGTTCTGGCCAGGGCAATCAGGCAAGAGAAATAAAGTGTATTCAAATAGGAAGAGAGAAAGTCAAATTATATCTGTTTGCAGATGACATGATTCTATATTTAGAAAACTCCAGTGTCTCAGCCCAAAATATCCATAAGCTGATAAACAACTTCAGCAAAGTCTCAGGATACAAAATCAATGTGCAAAAATCACAAACATTCCTATACACCAACAATAGACAAGTAGAGAGAGAGCCAACTCATGAATGAACACCCATTCACAATCACTACAAAGAAAATAAAATACCTAGGAATATCACTTACAAAGGACGTGAAGGACTTCTTCAAGGAAAACTACGAACTATTGCTCAGGGAAATAAGAGAGGGCAAAAACAAATGGAAGAACATTTCATGCTCATGGATAGGAAGAATCAATATCGTGAAAATGGTCATACTGCCCAAAATAATTTATTGATTCAGTGCTATTCCCATCAAACTACCAATGACTTTCTTCACAGAATTAGAAAAAACTACTTTAAATTTCATATGGAAAAAGAGCCCACATAGCCAAAACATATGGCAAAAAGAACAAAACTGGAGGTATCATGCTACCTGACTTCAAACTATACAAGGCTACAGTAACCGAAACAGCATGGTACTGCTACCAAAACAGACATATAGACCAATAGAACAGAACAGAGACCTCAGAAATAACACCACACATCTACAACCATCTGATCTTTGACAAACCTGACAAAAACAAGCAATGGGGAAAGGATTCCCTATTTAATAAATGGTGCTGAGAAAACTGGCTAGCTATATACAGAAAGCTGAAACTGGACCCCTTCCTTTTACCTTATACAAAAATTAATTCAAGATGGATTAAAGATGTAAGTGTAAAACCCAAAACTATAAAAACCCTAGAAGAAAACCTAGGCAATACCATTCAGGACATAGGCATGGACAAAGACTTTATGACTAAAACACCAAAAGCAATTGCAACAAAAGCCAAAGTTGACAAATGGGATCTAATTAAACTAAAGCTTCTGCACAGCAAAAGAAACTATCATCAGAGTAAACAGGCACCCTACAGAATGGGAGAAATATTTTGCAATCTACCCATCTGACAAAGATCTAATATCAAGAATCTACAAGGAGCTTAAATAAATTTATAAGAGAAAAATAAACAACCCCATCAAAAAGTTGGCAAAGGATAAACAGCCAACAAACATACAAGAAAAAGATCATCATCAATGATCATTAGAGAAATGCAAATCAAAACCATAATGACATACTACCTCATGCCAGTCAGAATGGCAATTATTAAAATGTCAGCAAACAATAGATGCTTGCGAGGCTGTGGAGAAATAGGAATGCTTTTACACTATTGGTGGAATTGTAAATTAGTTCAACCATTGTGGAAGATGGTGATTCCTCAAGGATCTAGAACCAGAAATACCATTTGACCCAGCAATCCCATTACTGGTATGTACCCAAGGAAATATAAATCATTCTACTATAAAGACAGATGCACACATATGTTTACTGCAGCCTGCAGCGCCATTTACAATAGCAAAGACTTGGAACCAACACAAAAGCTCATCAGTGATAGACTGGATAAAGAAAATGTGGTGTATATATATATATATATATATATATATATATATATATATGATGGAATACTATGCAGTCATAAAAAGGAATGAGATCACTTCCTTTGCAGGGACATGGATGAAGCTGGAAGCCATTATCCTCAGCAAACTAACACAGGAACAAGAAATCAAACACTGCATGTTCTCACTCATAAGTGGGAGTTGAACAATGAGAACACACGGACACAGGGAGGGGAACAGCACACACCAGGGCCTGTCGCGGGGTAGGAGGCAAGGGGAGGGAGAGCATTAGGACAAATACCTAATGCATGTGGGGCTTAAAACCTACATGACAGGTTGATAGGTGCAGCAAACCATCATGGCACATTTATACCTATGTAACAAACCTACACACTCTGCACATGTATCCCAGAAGTTTAAAAAAAATTCCCCCTCTGTTATTTTGTCCAGGGCTGCCCTCAACATAAGAGCCTTCATACACCAGGTTGTAGACTATGTCAGAGCTTTACTGGATGCAACAAAGCCCAACAAAACCCAGCTTTGAAATGTACTAGTTGTTTCCAGTATTTGCAGAACATGCCCACAAGAGGTTCTGGGAAGAAAGATTCATTGTTTGTTCTATCTGTCACAGGAATTCCTGCCCCTTGGATTTTATTTGCTTCTATTTTACATTCAGTCATTTTTTTCAAGTTGTTTCCTCATCCTCAACTTTTTAAATCACTCATTGTGAAAGTTGTTCTGCTTCTTCTGAACTTTCCCCTTAGCCTCATACCATTAAACTTCTCTCCTCTGGAGGAGCTGGGCTTGCCAGAATGAGGATCCCAAGCTCCTCTGAAGGCCTCTCCTGTCTGCTGCCTCCCAAGTGTGGCCACAGGCCTTTGGGGCTCTTCCCTGCCAAGCTCCCGCCCCTCCCTGGCATTATATTCATCTCTAATTCCTATTTATCCTGCTCTCCCCAGCCTATTCCACACAAGAAACCATCATTCTGCATCAAGGTAGACTAGGGTGTCTCCACCACTTGGCCAGAACCAGACCCAAAGCCAGGGTTCTGAGTATCCTGTTCCCATGCTTTCCACTAGGCCAGACTGGAAATGATCCCCAGTGTGGGAAAGATCCACCCTGTCCAATACAGTATGTGACTCTTTATATTTAAATTAATTAAAATTAAAGGAAATACAAAATTCAGTTTCTCAGTTGTACTGGCCACATTTCAAGTGCTCAGTAGCCACAATGTGGTAGTCAGTGGCTAGCACATTGGACAGTGCAGATACAGAACATTTTCCACATCGCAGCACTGAGCAGACTAATGTTGCTATTGTAGTGAGGGCAGGCTACCACAAACTAGTTACAGGACTGGCTGACCTAGAGCCTGTAGAGAGCTGGAACCTTCTATATCTTTCCACTGCTGGTTCCCAAGGATCTAAAATAGGACTAAGCACAAAGAAGACACATACTACTTTTTTTTTGTGGAAAGAATGAATGAATCCATCAATCCACTTATTTATTGACTACTTATCCTGTGCCAGTTACTGTGTGAGGCAGAAGGAACATGCAGTTCATTGAGACAAAGTCCCTGACCTCAAAAAACTTATTGTCTTGCAGGGAAAAGAGTCAGGAAAGGACTATTAAGTGCAACTGCCAAATTGCTTATAACCCTTAACCTAAAAAGATTTAAAACTGCAATAGGCACAGCCTGTCTCAAACTTTTTAAAATCACCTCTTTGAATTTACAGAAATTTTAACATTTTCCTTTGACACCATGACCCAGTAAAGGCAGCAGACTCAGAGAAGTCAAGTAATTTCTCCAGGATCACATAGCCACGGGAGGAACTGAATGCAGAACTTTTGTCGTCTAGTTCCCTTCCCATTCCCCTATGCTGGCTGTGTGAGCACAGCACCTCCATTGCTGGCTGAATCCCATGGAGGAAAAATTGAATTGTATCTCCCAACCAGAACAAGAACTTCTATGTATGTCACCCATGGAAGGTTGCAGGCAGTGCAGCCTATGGCCCCATAACCCAATTTTTGAGTTTTAGGCTGGTTTAGGCTTGGTTCTGGGCAGTAATGAGCAGCATATCCCCCACTCCCTTCTTAGGAATTTATGATGTGTTTCTGGATCTGTAATGTTGCACCTGATCACAGAAATATGTCGGGGAGGAAGGCCATTCTCAGGTCTGTGTCTGTGGAGGCTTCCCAATGCCGTTTCTGAGACCCCCCCCATATATTCATCTCAGGAGTGTGCTCACGGCCCTCATAAAGCTGGGGGTCAGTGTGGGGAACAGCAGCCTCCTGTTTCCAATCCCACTTCCTGTTTCCAATGAGAATCCACATCACCCTAACTCATAAAAATCCCAAACACCCAAACAAATAGAGTCAAGAAGGAATATGCACAAGGAGGAGGAAGTGCCTTCTGATACCCTAACAGCTCATCAGCTTAAACTGTACAATCTCAGAGCTAATTGCCCACAGATCTCTCCCAGCTATGCTACCCTCTATGTTGTCATGGTTGATTGATGGAGGAAGCTGGTTATACCATAAGCAGTCAGCTCGGAGAATGATGTAATGTATGGAACAAAAAACCTTTACTGTTACACTGTGTCTGCTAATCCTTTCTTCCAGTAATGATGCTGGTCAGAGGAAACACGGCTATGTGTGTGCCATGGGCCAAGTGCATGAACTCAGAGGTACAGGCACACCTGTTTGCAGATGACTGATCTGAGGCAAATACAGAGGAATGCTCAACAGTAGCTGAAATCATTAGGATACTTGGCTCTGTAGGTAAACTTAATTTCATCCCTAATCAAAAAAAAGCTAACTCAATCAACAACTTTTAAAATCTTTCAAGTCTTGGAGCTGTTGATTAGCTCAGAGGAAAGATTCAGAATGTTGGAAATATTTAGACCTGGATTCTACTCCTGGTTTTCCCACCAGTTTGCTGTGTGACCTTGGGCAAGTTACTTACCCCTCAAACTTCAGTTTCCTAGTCCACAAAGTTGGAATAATAATCATCATACCTTCCTTCTGGATTCAGGGGATAAGAGGAGATGACCCAATGGGTCAGGCACTGAGACAGATACTTAACACTCATCATCTAATAGAAGGTCCTCATTGTTATTATGGATGGTGATAATATTATGTGCAACAACCTTGCGTTAGCTTCTTCTAAGTATCTGCCTCCCCACCACGCTGAATTTATTATCTAGTAGTTACAACTCAAGAAATCAAATAGGAGACACATTGCATGTGCTAAACAGTGTGACACTGACTCTGAGAGAACGGAGAGAGCTGTGTGGAATGCTGGAGGCAGGGAGGCCTCCTGGAGGTTGCAGGTGGTTGACTATGGATTGGAAGCAGGGAAGGAGGAAGTGGTCAGAGCATGGGGAACAGGGGTGTTGGCGTGAGCCAAAGCACCAGCTTATACCAGAGCACACAGGGCTGCAAAGGCTGGTGTGGTGCCTGAGCCCATAGACGAGCAGTTACGTTGTGATGTGGTGATGTCCCTTCAGTCCCTGTCTTACAGCCCCTTCTGCCAGACTAGCTCCTGACTGCCCTTCAAGGATCCTCCCCAGCATCTGCTCATGAGCTCTCTTATGCCACCCTGCCCCATGAACACAATACTAATAGTAATAAGGAGAACAGCTGGCGTTCACTGAGCATTTCCTATGTGCCAATATCTGTGCTAAGCATGTTACCTGCATTATTTCATTTAATCCCACAACACATGAAATGGGCAGCACGTCATTTAATAAGTGGGACAAGTAGCTTGCCCAAGGCAGAGGCCCAGGATTGCTATTGTATGTTAACCCACATGGCTCCTCTAGTAGATGCTTGAGGACAGTGACCACAGTCTGTTCTGTTCAGCAATCACCAGTGCCTAACATGGCAGGCCTGGCACAAAGTAGGAACTCATGGATGTCTGTTGAATGAACAAGAAGAGATTGTCAGGTACACAGCAGAGATCTGGGTCTAGAGGCACTAGGCAGATCACCAAGCAGTGCTGGGAGACTGACCGCTGGATAAGCTCAGACATAAAGAAGGGGCACTGGGAAGCCCGGACCTCTGAACAGCAGGAGGCTGGGATAGAACACCATCTAAGGGGCTTGCTGCCTTTGTGCCCTGCCATTTGATGGTGGGATCTATTGAAATATCTTCCCTCTGAGGCCAGTAAATTTCATCCTGGTAACCTGGACAGGGCTGAGCCCAACGGTAGAGTTCAGTAGCTGAGCCAGAGATGATCATTCAGGAAAGCTGAGGAAGTAGGTAAAGTCAAGAGTGACAGTTTAAAATTTTTAAATGGTTCAGCATAAGCACTAACCAGTCGACATGATCGCAGTCTTCAGTGCTAGGGAAGGGTCTTGAGGCCTCCTACTATTCCAGACATTAACCCATTGGTTGGTAGGTCTTGAGGAGATCCAAAGGTTCCTGGAGAATCCAGAGCAGGTGATGACTCAGAGAGGTCAGAGCAGTGGCCCTATAACAGCTGAGACATATCAAACTAGTAACAATAGGCAGATCCCTACCAGAATGTCCTAGCTGAATTCCACAAGGGTATTAGGTTAAAATATCACTGTGAGAGTCAGCTATTCTACAAAAGCTGCCTGTCCTATAATGAGAGTTTTGTTAAAACTAGATAATATAATCTGTAACTCTGTTTACTAGACACACAGAAACTGTAACTTCTCAATGTGTTAAGAATGAATAAGGGTCGAATAAGGGTCCCACCATCAATTCCTCTGACTTGTACATGTTGTACAGTCCCTACTCTTACCTTCGGACCCCTCATATACTTTATGACTTTTTTACATATACAGAACAAGCACCTGAGTGCCAGTTAGCGAAGTTTATTTCTTTTGTAGAGAAATAGAAGTTCTCACACTTCCCCCTTAAGCCGTAGTGAACTGCCTTGTGCCTGTTCTATGTTGGAGGCTTTGGTGCAACTACAGTGCCTGTATTTCTGCTTTGCAGACTTGTAAATCTGAGGTTGCCTTAACATTAGCTTCAAGATGAATAGTAGCTTCAAGAAGTATTATTTTTAATCCCTGAAATTACCAGTTGCTAAACAGTCATACTTTTTCCTCAAATACAAAAAGTAGTGGCAGTCAGCCAAGAAAAACATTTCTCCTTGTAGAGAGAAGTGAACTGTTGTTAAAGGCCACGGTGATCATTAACAAAAATCATGTCATAATTAGATGCCTCCCTAGGATGCTCTAGGCCAAGGAAAGGTGATCACAGTCTTTACCTAGGCCGCGAACAGTCACCTGCCTAAAAGCATTTGGTGAAAGTGTTCAGTCTCCAGGGCAAGGTGGTTTTCTGCAAAAAAATCTTGGACCTCAGTGTTGCTTCCTGTTTGAAAAGCTGGTGACCAACACAGGGGATATGAACTGGTGGTGTGGGGTTTTGATAAAGAAAAATTGGGGGACTATATGTGCAGATCACTTTAAGAGGTCTCTGTGAGTCATACTTTCAAACAGAGTAAAGCCTCTCTTAAGATAGATCTTTCATACAATTCTTACAGTTCTTTTGTAAGGAGGAACAATTCTGGATTTTATCATAAGTTGCCCTTATTATTTTGTAAAAATACAAAAGAAGCACAGTATTCAAAGTTTTAAAGATCCCAAATCACAAAACAGAAGAAATTGAGAGTAGCCAAGAAGCCTAACTTTTATTCACCCTTTTTCTCTCTTTCGTTTCTTTTCCTTTCTTTCTTTCTTTTTTTTTTTTTTTTTT